GATTGCATTTTTCGTTTCGCATCGGAACACAGGTTGTTTTTAATTGTTCCTGACAATGGCAATACTGGTGCTCTGTAGGCGTTGATTTCTCCATTGTAACAACAAATTGTAAGGGATGATAAAACTTTTCTTTTAACACGATTGCCCAAAAGGAGTGTAATATTTTCAGAGTTTATAGATGTATGTTTTTCTATTTTACAATAACTTCTAACTTTTAAATTACTCAACAGATTTTTCTGCATGGTTTTTTTTTGATGGGTGAAAATGGTATAGTAACCCCGCCTGCGCTAACGGGATACGTTGGCGGAGCACCAGTGAAGGGTGATAGATGAGAATGAAAACAGGTTAGTTAGCCCATCATGATGAATTCATCAGGAATTAACCATGATAGTTTCCAGGGAGAACCGCGAGGAGGTCGACCTGGTTGGGTATATTGCTAGCAATGGGATTCTCAGTCTCCATTACTAACAATCCCTTTCCCCCCTTTTATGCATGGTTAAAAACCTTACATCACCTCGAGTGACACTTACAACTTGATAACTTTTATGATAATAATTCATACTGGAATTTTGACAGTGCAGTAGTACTTTTATAATTGCGGAGAGAAAAGAAACATACCTAAGGCAAAACATATAATGTATCTAAAATTATCTCAACTTGCGAATGATGTCTTCAATTCCATAAAGTAATTGCAAATAGCATCAGCAGTAGAGATGAATTTAATGATTATCAAAAATCATTTATTTTTTAACATTATTTACTTCATTTGATAATTTCACATAATCTTACCTAAGTAAAATTTTATATGGCTATGATATACGCCAGAGGCCTTCGTGCATAATCGATCTTAAAGCTTTTGACACCAGATGGCGCTCTCACACATAAATAATGGTAATAATTACTGATCACTGATACAAATACAAATACTCACACATTTGTCCGCATTTCCGCAAACAAACACAGACTAAAAATACTTTAGATGATATCTTACTACATTGCCTATTATTATTTCATTAAAATGTTAAGAATTCGCATACAAAATTATTGTCTGGGTGTAACTCATTTTATCTGATCATCATAAATTGCAGAACAAAAGTTTCTCGCATTCAAATACTTGCATAGATAAAACTGTTTTTTTTTTCCATAATAACTAAATAATGGCAAACAAGCTGATATTCTACTTGATGAAAAGTAGTAACAGTAGCCTATAGACATGAACAGTACCATTGACATTAAAAAATATACTACGTTTCCTATGGTACTCCTCATACGTTGCTATTCCTGAGGAGTACGATGTTATGCGTTTGCTGCTAATTATTTTTTATGCGACTTATAATAGCAACTAAGTTTATAGGAAATAGCAACCAGTAACTATACTCCACCACATTGGAGATCACAAAAAGGCTATGACTAATAGGCTAAATACTCGTAGGCTGTGATACTCGTGGTATCACTCATGCGTTCCCATTTTTGAAATATAAAATGTTTTGCCTCCAAACCCCGTAATTTCCCTTTTTCACTGCTATAACATCGCATCAAACCGAAAATGGCAGAAACACGTGTGGGATGGTGGTATTCATGCAAACGACTTTTGTGTAAACCCTCATTCTAATAAAATTCACTCGAGTTCATTCTATCAAAACTATCCTGATAATTCTATATGTATCCAGTGATTTCTTTGTTTAAAAATAACTAACTATTGAAAAATATGCTTTTATACATTTCTATTTAGCTCGTTATTTTATTAAAATTATTTATTTATTTATTTCAATTAATAAATAATGCTAATTATTTTGTTTAGTTCCTCTGCCATTACTATATAAACTCTAAGATTAACCATTACTATTACCAGAAATTCCATATTAGCCCTCAATCAAATAATCAAATAACCAGTGCCATAGAAGTTCGGAAATTAACACTCAGTTCAGTAAAAATTTCTATTTAAATAATACTTTTGCCATTTTGTATTGAATTTTGAAATAACAATGTAACACTATCCAATATTGTAGGAACAATCTACTCTATAAATCTAACCGACATCTTGACATTTGGTACCGTTAGGAAATTAATAGACCTTGCTGTTTCTTCCTTTACAATATAGACAGATACCTATATAGATAGGTATATATATTGATCTTCCAAAAAATTAGACATTAAATATTTAAAGTAACCAATAAAAGTGCAATTAATGTAGAATATCAATTAGCAACAAATTCTTTAATCACTCAATTATTTCAGAGAAAAATTCTAAATATATTAATATAAAATAATAAATGCCAATTGACAGCATCTTCATTTTAGCAATTATTTCAAAAATAACAACATTCGACAGTTAGAAAATGTACTATTTGAAACGCAAACTTTTACACATGCTAACCCAAATGATTGCTAAGCACAAATGATTGGTTAGATTTGAATGTAATTTGGTGCATTAAATCTTATCCTAGAAAAACACAAAGGGTACTCCATCGAGATAGGCAAAAATCAACAAGTGTATAAATTTAACAAACGATTCGTATCATGTCTTCTAAATTCTTCCCCTGTCTGTAGGTATCTACAAAAATATTGCAATTTTAAATCTTAATACCTAATTTTTGAGTCTTTTGAATGACAGTCAATTTTAGAACAAAGAACCTTGTTCGCATTGACGTGAGATATCAAATCAATGCGTGTTCAATAAATTGTGATTCCTTTGTAACCTAATACTTAGGTACAAAGGTATCCGTGTCGGCCGGGACCAATCGTGAATAGTTTGACTGTCAAGGCGAACAATGGTGAAATGTCAATAAGACACTGCAAAGTGGTTTGTCTGAGCTACGTCTAGGTCGTAGTATATAGTAATGACCTTATCTACCTTTATATAATGCTAGATTCGTTACAGAGTATGCAGAAAGAATAGAGCACTACCTAGTGCTTCATTGAATTCTAATGCTTCATCAATTTTCATCCATGCATGCCACTTCTGATCATACTTGATTACGACTATATCATCCTTCTGGTCTTTTTCCGTCGTTTAAATGGTTTGTATTATCAGATTTTAAGTGCTTTCTAATTTAACTACTTATTTATTGGATTAATCAATATATAGTTAAATTACAAACCACCTAATACAATTACGAATTACAGCAATTGTAATTTACGTAATACTAAAATAGAAGCATCGCAACACTTTCATTGTATTCAAAACTGAGATGCGCAATTACACACTTTCGTCTTCCGACGCGCTGGCGTGGAAATTAGTGAAAAATAATAATTTGTATTAAAGAAAGCAGATCGGATGACTCCTAATGTGCTAAAAGCTCAGATGACTGCTTTATATTACCATTCCTGATGTAAGGATTTACGATGTCGAGAAGATCATCAAATTTTCGACAGAATCAATATTTTTTTATCACGGGAACTAGTAGAAAATGTATTTTTGTACTAACAAATATTGTATCAATCATTGTTGATTGCATAAACATAGCTCTCTCACAAGTGTAACAGTTTTTAAAATTAGTTTGGTAGTTCCAAAGAATACCATAGAAACACATTTTCGACTTTCGACTGTATTCCCAGAAGGGATAGCCAGAGGTATGTTGTAGAATGTTACCAATTATACTCGGAGATCAAGTATCTACGTACTTCGACATCTGCATATTTCAGTATTTTCTTTGACATCGGAGATTCCTTTCTTCGCTTTGAGCTAAAACAAACACGGTTGCTCCACGTCAGAAACCAATTATACTCAGAATTTTCAGCTATATATAAGAAAGCTCTATATCTGATATTCGATCCACAAAATTTCTAACATATCGCAAGAATTTAAATAAATATTTACACCCAAATAATTCCAAGTTAATAAATCATTCAAACACATATTAAATTAACAAAAAGCAAACACTTTATTTAACCAATAGTCGATTGGTTACCTCCGTGCGAAATACTATTGTCAAAAATATGCCGAGGCTATTTCTCATAAAACCAATGACAGGCCAAAACAATAGCGGCTACAGTAATTAGCCGAAGTCAAGGTTAATGAGAATCAATTCTGTCCAAGTGATTTCCTGGCTTCCTTAAAATTTATACTTTGATTTAGAGAATTAAGAAATTGGACCTCTCAGTCAAAGATTGTAATTATTTTTATTTTATACCTACTTCGTATATATAATAGCCGTGAAATCCCGACAAAGAACAGACCATCTCTTCTTTTCCCATAGGTATCGTAAGAAGCGGTTAAAGGTGCGATTGCCAATCTGCCTACCAAGCGTAGCAACTATTGGCAAACCCCCCAAAAAGGAGGCTTATGTCCAGCAGTGGACAGTTAAAAGCGACTATGATGTGAAAGAAATACATCACTTTCTCTCGTAATAATCATAAAAAAAAATTGAATCAAAACTCTTTAATCGCTTTAAATGCATTATAAGTACACATTGCCCTCTTTTATTTGCTTCTTATTTTGGAAATAAGCAAATCTGTCTGTACCTAATTATAATAATATGTTAATTGTTTCGGTTTCTTTAACTTGATGTGTATTAAAATTAAAAGAGGTTATGTTAATTAATATATTCTTTATAGTAATGGAAACAACAATTTTAATTTAGGTATTACGATCATAAATAGCTGGCTGGCCTACTCTATGCCGGAACGTGTGGTTCCGGCATAGAATAGGCCAGCCCTTCTTTTCCCGTGGGTGGTCGTAAGAGGCAACTAAGGGAATTTAATGGTGAAGGAATGGGCAGCAGCGTCCCTCTTAAAATAAAGAAAACTTTACTGCGGTTTTCAACTTGCCTGTAAATTGTGGTACCTACTGGCAAAAACCCTCAAGGGGGAGGCTTATGTTCAGCAGCGGACAGTTAATGGTGGATATGATAATCAAAAATTGACAGTTCATAAATTATATTCATGATAAATTAAAAATAAGCACATAAGTTAGTTATGTACAGGTTTTTTAAAGAAATATTACATCATTCGTAAAATTTTTATCTCCATAACCTTATCCATTTTTTTCCTTGTTACAGGAACATTCAAAACAACTATTAGATCATTTGTCGGAGTCAGAAAAAATATTTCTGTTTGGTGCCAATCACAATGGTTAGTAAATTCATCCATTGCATATTACCATGAATGTTGTTAAGAAGAGTCTTCATCTTCAAGTACCTGTATTTGTGTTTTCATTATCTTTTACAGAAGCTCAATTCGAGATAGCGCATCTAAAGCAACCCAAACGTCGTAAACGCTCATTATCCTACGACGACAATGAACTAGTCTCTCTGAAGAATCATTTAGGTGTTAAAGTGGCTCCCAGAAGTAGCTTCCTAGACCCCCAGTTCCTACTCATGAGAAGATGGTCCAACAGTACTGACCTCGTATTGGACCTACACACTGATGAAGAGTTAGATCACTGTTACTATAGAAGTGATGATGCGGCATTATATGCATGTGAAGACGTGGTAAGATACCTACTCTATACTAATATTATAAAGAAGAAAGATTCGATTGCTTGTTTGTAACAGATAAGGTCAAAAACTACTCAACCGATTTTAAAAATTCTTTCACCTTTAGAAAGCTTCATTATTAGCGAGTGAGATAGGCTATATATATATATATATATATATATATATATATATATATATATATATATATATTTTAATATTGGCTAGATTACTAGTTGCTTATCATTTTCTTAGAAATGGAACCTCTTTCAGGTTACAAATGAAAAAAATATGTTTTAAAATCCAATAAAATTTCCATTTCTTTTTCAGAGAGGATTAATAAAATCCAATAATAGTTACTACTATATCCATCCGTTACCAGAAAGATTTCATCATGAAGATTCCAAAGCCCATGTGATAGTCAAACGACAAATAACAGACTTATCTTCAGATACTAATTATCAAAAGGAGGACACTTGTGTCGAAAGACAGAGTATCGATACATCTATCACTCCTCAGCCAGTTAGAATATGGACGAAGCATAGAAGAAAAAGGGGAGTAACTAGTGCGAACACAGAAAATAATTTAGAAGGATTTAAATTGAATCTAGCTCATAGAAATAAAACTATAGGAGCGTTTATTGAAAAACTAACGACTGATGCAAAGAGACAGAAAAGAGCTGTGTTGCCAGCAGTTTTTGTGGAGACGGCCGTTTTTGTTGATAGAGATTTATATAAACATATGACTGTGAATTTTCCTAAAGATACAGAGAGGGAATTGGTTAGATTTGTTTTAGCAATGATCAACGCGGTACAGTTGTTGTACCACGATCCGTCTTTGGGAAGACCTGTTAATTTTATTTTAAAAAGATTAGAAATTCTTCATGAAGACCCAGTGAATTTGAAACGACCACATGATATAGATAGATTTTTAAGTAATTTTTGTACATGGCAAAGGCTGGAGAATCCACCAGGTGACAATGATCCATTACATTGGGACCACGCCTTGATTTTAACTGGATTAGACTTGTACGTTGTTAATAAAAATGGTAAAGTCAGCAGTCAGGTCGTTGGTAAGTAATATTTGAAAAATCGTAACTGATATTTGTATTAAAAACGGAAGAAATTAAAATGTGTTTAAAATAATTATGCACTTAATTTTAATGGTTAATATAAATAATATAACAATTTAGGTAACCATTAAGACAATTATAATGAATTAAATATAATCTGTGACGAGATAAATTCATAATGTCATTTTTCAACATATTTTTTATTATAAAAATATTACGAAATTCAGGCAGTTTATCTTATGATCTATTTATTCCAGGTCTCGCCCCAGTGGCTGGTATGTGTACAGTCACTAGCAGTTGCACAGTTAACGAAGGAAGACATTTTGAAAGCGTTTACGTGGTGGCACATGAAATAGGTCATAAGTAAGTTGCTTTTCAATATAGATTTCCTGTATTAACATCATTTTAAAAATTAGAGCTTTTTCTTTTACAACTTATTTGAGTCACAATATCCAATAATCACATTGTTATATCTCACGTTTGACACCGAAACGCAGCATGCAATGTAAAAGAAGCACTTAGCGACAAAATATACGTGAGACAGAGGTACCCATTCAACAACAATAACAAGATATTTGGTGTTGTACCAAATATCTTGAATTAATAATTGATTTACATATAGAATTATAATATAATAAGCCACCCTTTCCCTTTCCGTGGGTATCGTAAGAAGCGACTAAGGAAACTTATTGGCAAACATATGGGCAACAGTCCTTCTTAGAACATCTCCATGGCTTAACTGCAGTTACCAACCCGCTTGCCAAACGTGGCAACTACTGGCAAAACCCACCAATAGAGATAGACCTATTTTCAGACCTAAGTTCAGCAATGGACAATTAACGACTGTTATGGTATGATATGGTAATTGTTATACATAAACCTTGTCTGCTGTATTCAGCCTCGGCATGCGCCATGACGGTCCGCTAGCAGACAACGGCTGTGACCCAAGCGCGTACCTCATGAGCCCAACCCTCGGTAGCGGGAAGATTACCTGGTCACAATGCAGTAAAAACTATCTGCAGAAGTTTCTTGAGTAAGTTACCAAGTATAGTATCATCGTAGTCTAAAAAACAGATGTTTTATTCTATTTTATAATTGTAAATTTTATTTTTTACAACTATTTCCAAAATGTATTTAAATATCATTAGTAAAGTAATATATTATCTGTGATAAAATACACCTAAAATCTAATATAAAGATGGAATGAAATAACGATGATGTAGAAGTGCAATAACGTAACTTAATGTTCAGATATTAGATGCGAGTATATACTTATTCTCTCCATCATTTCCCCTCAGCCTTTCGCCCATAAAGGATCTTCAAAACTTGATACTTTCAGAAATTAATATTTTTAATATAGTGTAATTAATATGGTAATTACAAATTACAATTTATTAATTATTATATTTATGTAAATTTTAGATTAAGTTTTAATAAGAAATTAGATTAAATTTAATAGACTTGGAATCAAGGAATATAATACTACCAAGAACGTCTAGAATGATAAATAGTTTAGTATTAATATAAGTTTGTTACCTTACCGTATGGTACCGGTATAGAATAGGCCATACCCTTTTTTTTTCTAGTGGGTGTCGTAAGGCAACTAAGGGAGGACGAGGGATGGGCAGCAGCATCCTTCTTAAAACATCTCCAAAGCCTAACTGCGCTTGCCCATCCGTATTTTAAGCATGGAAACTACTGGCAAAACCCTCAAGTTTACCTTATATTAAGCAGTGGACTGTTAAAAGCTAATATGATGATGATGATGATGATGATGATAACTTAGTTCTCAAATAATAAAATTCTTTTAACAAATATAGCGTATTCATAAATGTAAATTAATCAATTTACAGTACTGTTCAATCTCGATGTTTGTTGGACCATGGAAATTCTGCTGGGCAGTTGGACCACAGTGCTGAAGGTATACTGCCTGGTGAGAGATTTGACGCTGATCAACAATGTAAGTACCTAACAAAAGGTCATGATGAATATCACAAATTAAATAAAGAAATTTCAAAAATAATAAATGAAATAGACATTGGATTCCATTCTGTGATGCAATTTCTCGAAACCTATATTTGTTAAAATTATAATTTCTATTTGATATCACAGCGAAATCTTTATTAAAAGGAGCAATATGAACTAATTTTCTAAAAGAATTAAGTCAAAACTGTTATAATTTTAGTTTATGATAGTCCATAACACAGTAAATTCGCATAATTATATAATTAAAGTTTAAAAGATAAGTTTAGAGAACAGTATATCAAAATCGGCACTATTGTACAAAGTATCTCCTAGGTTTAGGTTCAAAATGTTTTAGGCGATAACAAGCTTTCATCTGTTCGTTTTAAACAGCTTTTCAAAATAAAATATACACCAGATTTGAAAGTTACACATTCAGGAACACAACTATGAATCTCGCATACAATTTTATGCAGCAATTTTTGCATAGTTCCGGAATAAACATATACCTACACAGTATGACAAATGTCTAAAATGTATTTCTTGTTTTAGATTCAATTCCTCTTATTAAGACCCATCATATATATGTTTCTTAATGATCTTCTGTGTACAGATATCATTTAGTTTTATTTTACTCTATTCTTCCAGGCATGTTAAAATACGGTAGTGGAAGTCGCCACTCCGCTGCTCAGAACTTGGAGGAGATCTGCAGAGATTTGCACTGCCAGAGGGAGAGGTACACGTGGACCTCGCATCCTGCGCTCGAGGGGACCAAATGTGGTGAAGATATGGTATGTTAATTGTTAGCCATTATTTTTTACATGTTATTATTATTATTAGCATATTTTGCTCTCTCTCTCTCTCTCTCACTTTCTTTCTCTTTTTTAATCTCTTTATGAATGTGGTATTATTACATTTCTCTTATGCGTATATGTGATGACAATATAAACTACAAAAGTGGCCTTTTAAAAATTATTAACTATTATACTTATACTATTATAATTGTTTTTTTTTTTTTATATTATCTTTCGATGCAGCTGATGAAAGTTCATCGTAACCTATAAAGACTTTGAGTACCATGAATACTAAGGGCATTCGAAAATATATTAACATATTATTGTCTTCTTATATGCTATTATCATTATGGACTTTTTTTTTGTAATTGTACTATTTTATAGTACTATTTTTTTGCAAAGCAGATTTTATTTTAGATTTTGAAATTCATTAATCGAAAGTTTGCCTTCAAATCCCATATACTGTAATCTCGCCTATAACACGGTACTCCTATAACGCGTTTTCATATAACATGATTTCCCTCGTATAACACGGGTATTCCCTCATATAACGCGGGTATTCCCCCATATAACGCGGGGATTGAATATTTAAAAAAAAAAATATTTATTTTATTTAAAATGTTCCTAATTAGACTTTAATAAAACACGCGTATTTCCTTCATAACATAGTTTTTTCTTGATATTCAATTTAAATCCCTTTTAACGAGAAAAGTTAAACGTGAATTTGTACATAACGCGTTATACGAGGTCGTACAAGCGTGTTATACGAGAACACTCCTACAACGCGTTTTCCTATAACACGGAACGAATCTTCCGCGTTATAAAAATATCGCCGTAACTTTGAATGTGTGTTCTGTATGACAACTAATTTATAGCTGTGTGTGACATTATATATGTGTCTGTGTTTTTTTTTTAATGATAGTGGTATGGTAACCCCGCCTGCGTTAACGATATACACCGGCGGGCACCAGTGAAGGATGATAGGTGAGGATGAAGCAGGTCAGTTAGACAACAAGAATTGTTCACGATGGTTTCTAGGGGGAATCGACCTGATTGGGTATATTGCTAACAATGGGGCTACTAATCAGGGAGACTGTGTACAAAAGTCGATTGCTTGGGTACCTCTGTCCCATCCGTGTTTCTACCGTGAAGCAGTTGTGTTTGCATGGCTGTGTTTCGGTTTGAAGGGTGGGATATGGCGTGCATTTACAGGGTACAGAGGAATAACGCCTTAGTCCTCAGGAATGGCAACGTATGAGGAGTATTATGGGCGAAACAGTATACTCTGTTATGTCCATGACACTACTCATGTCTATAGGCGACGGTTTTTTTTAGTGGGTAATAATGGAACGGTAACCCCGCCTGCGCTATCGGTATATGGGCTAACTGGCCTGCTTTCATTGTCACCTATCATCCTTCATTGGTGCCCATGAAGGGTGATAGGTGACAATGAAAGCAGGCCAGTTAGCCCATACGTGACAAATTCCACCAGAATTAACCACGATGGTTTCCACGGGGAACCGCGTGGAGGTCTACCTGACAGGGTGTATTGCTAGCAATAGGCCCCCCTATAGGCGACGGTTACCACTTTCTAATCAGGTGGGCCGTCAGCCTGTTAGCCATTGTAAGTAGTACAAATATACGGCAGTACTGCCGCGGCGGGTCGTGCGCGGGTGGCGCGGGGGCGGCGGGCGGCGCGTGGGCGCGCTGGTCGCGCTGGTCGCGCTGGGCGGAGTGCGCGTCCGCGTGCCTGCTGGACGAGCGCCGAGCGCCCGCCGCCGCCGGCGTCGCCGTCGCCGCGCGCCGCTGCACGCGCCCGCGGTACGTACACTGAGCTATTTGGATCTGCTTCTAGTCTCTGTTTGGCCTATTTGGGTCACTGCGACACACATAGCCAAACCATATTTTCATATTTTATCTTTTGTTGTATATTTTGAAAAGTGTTAATAATTTAATTGTATAAACTCATTTGTAGATTTACAGTGTGTCATAAATTGTTCAAATAAAAAGTTTATCTATCTATCTACCCTGAACCCTGTACGCGACCCACTACCGAAGACCTTAGTCCCAATCACTGTCAATATTTATTTATTTATACTTTTATTCAGATTTTTTTTCATAGGTGAAAATGGTATGGTAACCCCGCCTGTGCTAAAAGTATACGCTGGCGGAGCACCAGTGAAAGGTGATAGATGAGAATGAAAACAGGCCAGTTAGCCCATCATGATTAATACATCAGGAATTCACCAGGATAGTTTCCGCGAGAAGGTCGACATGGCTGGGCATATTGTTTTTTTTTTTAATAGGTGATAATGGAATGGTGACCCCACCCGCACTATCGGTATACACCGGCGGGGCACCAGTGAAGGATGATACATGAGAATGAAGCAGGTCTGTTAGCCCATCGTGACGAATCCAACAAGAATTGTTCACCATGGTTTCCAAAAGGAACCACGTGGAGGTCGACCTAATAGGGCATATTGCTAGCAATGGGACTATAGAACTCCATTGCTAACAATCCCTTTCCCCCTTGGGTATATTGTTAGCAATGGGATTCTTAGTCTCCATTACTAACAATCCCTTTCCCTCTTTTGCACAGATTAGAATATTAGAACTGGGCGAGCTTAATGCCTGATAGCATTCTCTACCAGTCAACCGTTATATATCGAATATCCAATATCGAATTATTGATGATTTTTTTCATCGCCTGCGTTAACGGAGAGGCACCAGTGAGAAATGATAGGTGAGAATGAAAAGGCAGATCAGTTGAAGTACCAGAGGGAGACTTTGTACAAAAGTCATTTGCTTGGGCAACTCTGTCCAATTCGTGTTTCAACCGTGAAGCAGTTGTGTTTGCATGGCTGTATTTCGGTTTGAAGGGTGAGATATGGCAGTGAATTTACAGGGTACAGAGGAACAACATCTGAGTCCTCGTGAATGGCGACGCATGGGGGGTATCATGGGCGAAATAGTAAACTCTATTATGTCCACGGTACTGCTCATGTCTATAGGCGACGGTTACCACTTTCCATCAGGTGGGCCGTCAGCTTGTTTGCCATTTTAAGTTGTAATAAAAAAAGTTGGCCAGTACATATCATTGACAATAATGTTTTCTTTTTTAAACATCACATCGTTTGTACTCTGCCTAAACAATATATTGTATATGTGTATTATTATAATTATTTCATTTCAGACATGAAAACAGCAATAACTACTGTTCGGGTCACGACAAGAAGTATCAGACGTGTCACGCGGAACAGGTAAATATTTGTAGTTAATCCACTTTGCCCATTTGAATTATAGTATAGATAAAAAATTTTATAATTAATTAAACAAGGAAACATTGCATTTAATCCGTTATCATTTACATTATTCAAATTACGTATTATTCATTGTGACCAATTTTTATGCCTGTACCAATAGAACGTATACGGTAGCGCAAGTGGAGTTACTATTCCATTTTTATTTCATTAAAATAATATTTATACTACAAAGATTTTATCTTAGATAGAGATTAGAGAAGATTTTTTATGCAACTTAGAATGGCAAACAAGCTGATGGCCCACCTGATAGAAAGTGGTGACCGTCGCCTATAGACATGAGCAGTGCCATGGACATAACAGAGTATACTGTTTCGCCCATGATACCGCCCATACGTTGCCATTCCTGAGGACTCAGGTGTTATTCCTCTGTACCTTGTAAATTCACTGTCATATCCCACCCTTCAAACCGAAACACAAATTGTATTATAACTGAGTGAAGAATTAAGAATCATCGAACCGACATGTGACAATGAAAGAATAGAAACTCTTTCTAGTTCCCTTCAAAGAATGATACAGATTGTAAAGTTTAACAATATATACGCCAAAAAAAATTACAAAAACTTGATTACATAAAAGCAAGATAAAGAGGCAACAATGGGCAGACTTATGCTAAAAAGCGATCTCTTCCAGACAACCTTGGGATAGTAAAATTGTGTCTGGTCAAGGCGTCATAGAAGAATAATAAGAATAAAAAAGGGAGAAAAAAAAAACTAATCCAAAGGTTGCCTGGAAGAGATCGCTCTTAGGGATAAGGTCACCCATTGTTTTCTCAGTGTGATTATTTCTTGTAATTATTTATATTTATAATAAGTTTACTATTGTAATTTTTTGGAGAAAGCAATAAAGAGTACCTATCTATCTATTTATAAAGATAAATATAAACTAAATTAAAATGAGATGAGTTATGAAAGTGGATAAGACAAGAAATGTGTATACTTTTCGCACTTTGTTCTCTCTGCCCGCCCCGCTAGGGTCTTAGCATGAAAATATATTGTAATTAATAGTTTCAATATGAATTCAAGTGTAACAACGTACCAAGGATGACTGTGAGGGAGTTCGCTGATGAGATCTGCTCTAGAGCGCGAGACGTGGACCCTGACCTCATCGGCACCGGTCTGCAGAGGCTAGACACTGATGGTGAGTTATTATTAGGGATATTCACTCTGACACCATATAAACTAATTATGTGGGGGGAGATGGGATTAATAGGAATGGAAATTAACAATCCCATTGCTGGCAATATACCCTATCAGGTCAACCTCCACACAGTTCCCCCTGGAAACTATTTTGATTATGGTTGAATTAAACACGATATGTCAACTGATCTGCTTCTTTCTCACCTATTATTCCTCACTGGTGCTCCGCCAGTGTATACCGTTAGCGTAGGCGAAGTAAGCATTCTATTATCATCCATTAAAAAAAAATATTTTCTCCCAAATTAACTGATTAGCTATCAAATTGCCAACTGTTTGTGACGATGTGAGTTCTATTAAATTCTGTGACTAGTTTAGGTAAGGCTGCAGTGGGTCTCGGGCTATCCTATAGCCACTAACCGGTATTCATAATATTCCTTATTGCACTAAAACAGACAGTAATAATCGTCGTGTTGTTCCCGGCATAGGATGGACCACCCTTTCCTTTCCCGTGGGTGTTGTAAGAGGCGACTAAGGGAGCTTGTGATGGAGGGATGGGCAGCAGCGTCCCTCTGTAAAAGTCTAACTGCGGTTACCAACTCGCCTGCCAAGCATGACAACTACTGGCAAAACTCCCATTATGGGGAATGCATCTGTTCAGCAGTAGACAGTTAATGGCTGAAATAATAATACAGTAATCATAACAATTAGAAACAATATAAGCCAAGGTGAACTTATCTCTAAAAGATATCTCTTCCAATCAACCTAACACAGTGGCATAGGCGTAGTGAGCGACATACATAGAAAACCATTTAAAATAAATACAAGATTTTATTCATTAAAAATTAGTATAACACTAACCTCACTATTATCATCTCAACTATTACCTGTTCACTGCTGAACATAGGCCTCCTCCATGTCATAAAGAATCTAAGCCACCTGCATCCACTGACTCCTTGCAATGCATTTAAGGTCGTCACTTCATCTAGTAGGGGCTCGTTTTACACCGCGTTTGGCGTACGACATCGCAACTCCAGAACCTTTGTTCTAATCACACAATTCATAAAGCCAACCTAAGACACTGGAATTAATTTCAGAAAAACCATCACCAAAAACTGCGCAAATTATGCAGAAAAGTTATCACTTAACATAAATGTATAAAAATATAGTGAAATTCAGAACTTCTTGTCTTTTGGTGTTAGCTGATACTCATTATTCTTCAGATATGAGCAGCGCGTGTGCGGTGTGGTGCGACACGAGAGGTGGCGGTTACAAGTCCCGGGGCTGGACCCTGCCCGATGGCACGGCTTGTTCAAGAACATCACCCATGTTCTGTATTTCAGGAGTCTGTCAGGTGATACTTCTACACTAATATTATAAGGAGGAAAGATTTGTATTTTTATGTGTATGATTTTAATGAATAAACTCAAAAACTACTTTGCCGATTTCAAAAATTCTTTCACTGTTAGAAAGCTACATTCACCCTGAGTAACATAGGCTATATTTATTGCTAAAAAAGATTAGGGGTTCCTTCTAAAGCTTTAGTAACGTAACTCAAAGTGTAAAAAAATGCTATAAAATATCTTGCGTCGCGTGCGCTGCGAAAATTATTGGTGATAGAACCAAAGTGTGTTCTACAATATCGAAGAAAACATCAATAACTACAAAAAACTTCGCGATATTATATGCCCAACTATTATCGTTATGTCACAATTACCACTTTTTAAAATGTTGTAAAAATGTTCAGCCGTGCGAAGCCGGGACGGGCCGCTAGTACTTTATATTTATTACGCCTAGAGTAGTATTTGTAACTCAGACGTAACGCTTGACTGTACTCTGGGAATCCCAAAATCGAATCCCAGCGTAAACCTTAGGAAGTAATTATTTAAAAATGATCGTCACTTGCATTTCAAAGAGCCTTACCCCCTTATTCATACAATTGTCAAACCTCCCATAAACCCATTTTAGCTATTGAACTGTTTTGTCTCTTACTTTAGTGCTAAATTCGTAATTTGAAAGAAAGTGACATCATCTTCCTACCCTTATCCCAATTATTATTTGGGGTCGGCGTAATATGTTTTTCTCTTCCATTCTTCTCTATTCCCAGTCATTTCCGCATTCACTCCCATTCTGGCCATACCGTCTCTCACACAATCCATCCATGTCTTTTTAGGACTTCCTCTGCTCTAGCCATCTACATTCATTCATTCAAAGAAAGTGACAAAACAGCGTAATAGTTAAAACAGGTTTTTTGAAGGTTTTAGTTCTTATGAATAAGAGGGGGTGTATAAAGGAGTTGTTTTGGGGTATTTAATTTATTTTCCAGGGAGGGCCCTTACAAAAGGTGCATATATATAATCAGACTTATTTTTTGCGTAATATTGAAAGCTTCACTATTTATATTTAGGTGGGCACCAGAAAATATTAGAATTGGCATGACCCTCCCTAAAGTAAATAAGTCTATGAGAAGGTCTCTCTCTCCTGACATCGCCCTCACGCATGGAAGCGTGTATTAGCTCTTTATAAGTTCTCAGATAAAAAAAAATTAGATGTCATGACAGGAAGGTCAAGGAATAGAGCTGGCTGAAAGAGAATGCATAAATTAATTGCCCCGATAAGAGGAAACTCTTAAATGAAAAGAAGAAGGTTTGAGATCCTTCATACAGACTTGATTGTTTCAAAAGAACGAGCAAGTATTATTTACTTACTAAACATTTTAATAAATTGCCTTTAAATGTGAGAACAGTAAGCCATAATCCACTAGTATAATGTATCGAAATGTTTCGCTGTGTCTTATTTTGATAATCCTAAATAAATAAACATAATCCGTTCTAAAAGGACCAAAAATAACTTCCAGAAATTCACATGCTCTTCAAATCCTGACAACGAGTTCACTTTGAAGCCGAGTGACTGTGAATGGGAGGCACTGCAGTTACAAACGGCAACACCGCACAGTACCTCGTAAGTAACTTTTTAATGGTAATTCTTTTTTTTTTATACAACAAACAAAATGTTACGCCCAAATCTTATTGCTTGGGGTAAATGTGGCAAAATGTCGTCAGAACAAAAACCTCCGGCACGTGGCGGCGTGCGGTGGGGTCCCAGTGGCGGCCGACGAGCGGCTGCCACTACCACTGCGTGACGCCGGGCGTCGGCGTGCGGCTCGTGCGATCTGCCTCGCGCCACACCGCCAGCATACAGCTGTGCCGCCCCGACACCACCAGGCCTGATCTCGTCAGTCACACATAAACATACACTTTGTTCATTTCCTTTCTTTGGAAGATGGTGTGATTAATGAATTAAATCAACCTTATTGCTAGGGGGGAAAGGGATTATTAGAAATGGAGACTGAGAAACTTATATACTCTTCGGAAAATATACTCATCCAGGTCATCCTCCTCGCGGTTCCCCCTGGAAACTGTCATGGTTAATTCCTGATGAATTCATCATGATGGGCTAACTGGCCTGTTTTCATTCTCATCTATCACCCTTCACTGGTGCTCCGCCAGCGTATCCCGTTAGCGCAGGCGGGGTTACCATACCATATTCACCCATCAAAATCAATCTCATTGCTATCAATAAACCTCTACCTTACGTATAATTCCACTGACATATTCTAACCTTCAAACCGAAACAGTCATGCAAGCGCTGCTGCTGAATGACAGAAACACATGGAAATTGTAAATATAGGAACAGATGATGGTTTCCTCATGGTGAACTTCTGTCCATATAAATTCCTGATATCCAAATCCAAATCCAACAGCATTTTAATTCTAAGGAATATGTCATCTCACCACTAGTAAGAAAAACTCCACAAAGGGAGAAGCTCACGTATCCAATAGCGAGTCCCCCCCCCCCCCCCCCAGGACAACAGCCTAATAACACCGATGCATAATTAGCGCTCATTATTTCATATATTATATTCATAACGAGTATCAACAACTTTTTTATAAAAAAAATCGAAGGTTTAGCAATTAGTTTTTTTTTTTTTTTTTATACACAACTTAGAATGACAAACAAGCTAATGGACCACCTGATGGAAAGTGGTGACCGTTGCCTATAGATATGAGCAGTACCATGGACATAACAGAGTATACTGTTTCGCCCATGATACCCCTTATGCCATACATACATAGCAAATAGTGCCCGCCACTTACTGTTACGATTTGTCCAGGGTTGCACGCAACGCAAGACACCTTACCAGTACGCAACCATGGTGTGCAGCAAGTACAAAGAGAGAGTCAGACGGCTGTCCGGTCTGGGGATGCAGATATCGCCCGCACTCGGTGAATACTCTTTTTTTTTTATTAACTACTTTATTGTTCTCTAGCTACTACAACTAAAAACTGCAAAATATAATGAATGAATGAATGAGTATACTTTATTTGCATTATACAGTATAGGAAATAAACAAGACAATTTACAAACACAACGATACAATTGTATAAGTACAGTAAGGCGGTCTTATTGCTGAGAGCAATCTTTTCAAGACAACCTTAGGGTAATGGACTAATTGTTGTACAAGTAGGTATGATAGTGCTGTATAATTAAAAAAGCATCTTTTGCAAATTAAAAATATATAAAAATTATATACACACACACATATATATATATACATACACATACATATATATATATACACACACATACATATACATATCACTCAAACAAAATTATATAATCCCATGCGTATATATTAAATATATACCCAATCGTTATTTGAAAAAAAAATTTAAAAATGTATATAACCTGACAATTAACTATAATTGTAACATTATTTTGAACGTTGTTACCTACCGCCAAGACCCTCACACACAGCAGCTTCCTCATTTTCTAAGTATTATACAAACTTACTACTTTCTAACAATTCGCTATCAACAAAGAGTTCACCCCCATACCTTAGAGCCTGAATAGTGGCGTACAGCGCGGTTTCAGAGATATTTCCCCCCACAAACGCTCAGACTATGAAATGAGCTCCCTGTCATAGTTTTTTCCATGATACTACAGCGTGGGATTTAAAAGGGTCAAGCGGTTTCTTTAGAGTCAGCAACGTGCGTGTAATGCCCCTGGTATTGCAAGTGTTTATAGGCTACGGTAACCGCTTACCAGCAGCTTCGGCTGTGTGTTTGTTTGCCACCTCAGTGATATAAAAGTACTTAATTTAGTTGGTTAATAACTATAATGATATACACATAATTATTATTATTCATCATCTTCCAACCAACAAAAGTCGGGGAAAGGGATTGTAAATAATAGAGACTAAGAATCCCATTGCTAACAATATACCCAACCAGGTCGACCTCCTCGCGGTTCTCCCTGGAAACTATCATGATTAATTCCTGATGAATTCATCATGATGGGCTAACTGGCCTGTTTTCATTCCCATCTATCACCCTTCAGTGGTGCTCCGCCAGCGTATCCCGTTAGTGCAGGCGGGGTTACCATACCATTTTCACCCATCAAAAAATTCAAAAAAAAATTTTCCCATAACATCGATTCCATTAAAATCTCAGAGGATCCAGACCGTCCATGCCGCATTGCATGCCAGGATGAGCGGGTGTCGCACCGGTTCTACTTGGTGAACGGGCACGAGGGCTGGTTCCCGCTCGGCACCGCCTGCGGGAAGAACAACTCCTCATACTGCGTCAGCGGCAAGTGCTTGGTGAGTCTCACTTTACACCCTCACTGATACATGCATTGTCAACTTGGATCACCAGTCCCGACAATACCTCCTTTGTAATATGATGATCATGTTTCTGTTGTGAATTTGTTGATAGGCAAAGGCGATCACTACCAGTAAAGTAGACAAGTGTTCCAACTTCGACCTTTAGGGAATATATAATCTCTTTCTTATCTACTGTTCCTTAGAACAGACAATTTTTTCCCCCTTTCAAGATAGAACAATAGGATATTGTTCTATCTTGAAAGGGGGAAAAAATTGTCCTACCTGGATACCTGTGTTAACACTAATACATGCCTAGACAATGGCGGACCGGCATAAACGTAGTGGGTAGGCCGTGTAAATTATTATAACGGAACGATCACCATACTACCCGACTCTGTGTGACACTACACTTTACTACTACAAGACTGTCTTGTTGTTATCTCTATCTATTTTATATATCTGTTTTAAAGTAAAACTGTTAAATATATTAAAGACTATTACAGCACCAACCGGAGTATTTATTAATATTGTATCAAACAACCTGTAATCTAAACTTACAACTTGCGCCTATCCAAGGATAATAATGCATGCAAGGATTCATGCTATCATTTTCATAAAGTAAATTAAAGTAAGTTCACGCTACCATTTTCACAAAGTATCTTTGTATAAAATAGGCCACCCCTTCCTTTCCCGTGGGTGTCGTAAAAGCCGACTAATGGTGGGCGAAGGATGGGCAGCAGCGTCCCTCTTAAAACATATCTCAAACCTAACTACAGTTGCCTGTCACTTACCAAGCGTGACAACAACTGGCAAAATCTCCCAAGGGGGACGCTTATGTTCAGCAGTGGACAATTAAAAGGTGATGATGGTGAAATGAGTAACATTTATTCCAAAATTAAGTCGCAATAAAGTTTTTGAATAATTTTTTTGAATAAATTCAAAAAGTAAAAGGCTCTCAATTAACCTCTGTTATAATTTCGTACAAATATTGTCTTTTTTGGAGCCAAATGTACTTGTTGACATCTGGTGAAATCATAGAATGCTAAAAAATAGATAAGAAAAAACCCTTTATTCAACACAGCCATTGACACTAACTGTATCACCATTCTTGCTTTTTCAGGAGTTCGGCCCTGACAACACCCCCCTATCTGAGATGGTGTTCACGCTGCCGCTACTGGGCCGGAGTAGCACCAGTTCGAGCAGCAGCGTCTCGTCGAGCAGCAGCGTGCGGCGCGTGACGTCACGACACCGGCGCCGGCGCAGCCTTCACCGCGACAGGATCACGGTGAAGGCCACGCTCGAGCAGCGCCATCTGGAGGAGCTGATCGCGAGGCTCAATCTTACACGTAAGTTATGTGAAAGTTAATATAGTCATATCGACTGTATGTTTTTGTATCACTCATGTGGTTTTTAAACAGTAAATTGGTAAAAATTTAGAGTTTAAGTTCAGGGAAGGGATAAGCACGAATAACACAGAGTATATTGGTCAATCCTCGAATTTCCTATTAAATAAATTCAATTAAGTAAATTGAATTAAGTAAATTCAATGTCACAGTTATAAAGTAATCCGAAATTAACATTTTCTGTCTATTCAACTATCTTATCACATCACGTGAGACGGATATAATGGAATCTTTGGAAACAGATCACAGAGTACTTTGTGAAACCTTTAGTGATGTTCATGCCTATAGGCAACTAGCGTTAATTGTTTAAAAATGTGTTTATTTGCTAATTCGACTCAAACAATTTATGTGTTTTTTTTTAATGAGTGATAATGGAATGGTAACCCCACCTGCGCTATCATTATACACTGACGAGGCACCAGTGAGTGATGATAGGTGAGAATGAAAGCAGGTCAGTTAACCCACCGTGACGAATTCCACTAGAATTAACCACGATGGTTTCCAGGGAGAACCACGTGGAAGTCAACCTGATAGGGCATATTGCTAGCAGTGGGGCTGTCAAACTCCATTGTTAGCGATCCCTTTCCCCTCTCCCCAATGGTATTTGGAGTGGAGAAGGATATAGGTTACCACTAATGCTTCTTGTAGCCTAAATAAGTTGATACTAGTCAATCAACTTATTTAGGTTACGGGAACGAAGTCACGGGAAAAGAACTATTTATATTTGCTTTTATTTTTCGATTACAAAAAAATCCGGACATGCTTACCTGAATTTTTGAAATTCTCCCATTGCGTCCGTAAGATAAATTTCAATATGTATAAAACGTGAATGTTTAAACTACCTTAATTTAATTTCCAGACAATGGCAACGAGCACATAACGTACTACGACACTGTGCCGGACAACATAGAGGTGGACTTCAACAACCCCATACATATAGCGCCCGAGGACACGCTGATGAGGAAACCGCCGCGACCCACTTGGGACTAAGAATTGTCTACAATTCTCGGACTAAAATTAATTTTGAGGCGATCAAATTTGAATTAAGCTTGGAATATTTCACAAATAGCATGTTAATCACTATCATCACTACAAAGGCGCTTCCCGTCTGTCTGTTCCTATGCAGGCTTAGGTCTTTAAAACTATATAACGGATTTTTATACAACTTAGAATGGCAAACAAGCTGACAGCCCACCTGATGGAAAGTGGTAACCACCTGAGTCCTCAAGAATCTACGGCGATTCTTAAGGACTCAGATGTTATTGCTCTGTACCCTGTAAATTCACCCTTCAAACCGAAAAACAGCTATGCTATAATAACACCTGAGTCCTCAGGAATGGCAACGCATGGGGGGTATCATGGGCGAAACAGTATACTCTGTTATGTCCATGGTACTGCTCATGTCTATAGGCGATGGTTACCACTTTCCATCAGGTGGGCCGTCAGCTTGTTTGCCATTCTAAGTTGTATAAAAAAAAATCATATGAAAAGCAAAACCATATGTCACACCTGTTACTTCCCTTCTTCTTGTAATTTCACCGCCGTATGTCCTTCAAATTGGAACAACTCTGCAAGCGTAGATGCTTGGTGATAGAAACATAAGTGGTACATAACAGAGGTGTCTATAGCTTTTATAATGGATGATAATGGAATGGTAACCCCGCCTGTGCTATCGGTATGGACTAGCGGTACACCAGTGAGGGATGACAGATGAGAATGAGAAGACAGATCAATTAGCCCATCGTGATAAATACACTTGAAATTCAACACGACGGTTTGGCCACGGGGAAGTCGATCTACCCTGTCAGATCGACTGCTATTGGTGGTACGCATTACTAACAATCCCTCTGAGGAATATAATAGTAACCCCGTCTGCGGTATACGCTGGTGGGAGACTAGAAAAGGATGATAGTTGGAGATGGATACAGGCCAGTTAGCCCATCATGATGAATTCATCAGGAATTAACCATGATAGTTTCCAGGGAGAACCGCGAGGAGGTCGACCTGGTTAGGTATATTGCTAGCAATAGGATTCTCAGTCTCTATTACTAACAATCCCTCCCCCCCCCTTATAGGATTAGGAAACAATCGTGCTACGTAATACCATTTTTATGACAATTAGCAATCGTTGGCAGTGTTTGTGGCCGTCATACGGAATTACCTGTCTAGTCGGTGGGAAAGGGATTGTTAGTAATGACCTTTAACAACCTCATTACTAGCAATACACCCTATCAGGTCGACCTCCACGCGGTTTCCAGTGGGAACTATAGTGGCTAATTCTTGTTCAATTGGTCACTATGGGCCAACTGACCTACCATCATCCTCACCTGTCACCCTTCACTGGAGCCTTGTTAGCATATACCGATAGCGCAAGCGGGGTTACCATTCCATATTCACCCATAAAAAAAAGTAGGACCTAGTCGCTGTCGTGCGAGGTAAATACCATTAAATAATTCGGTTAAGACCCGACAGTCTATGTAAAGCGGTACATTATGTATAGTCAATGCAATAAAGTTGAAATTATTTATAATATAGTTTCATCGACTGTACAATTGTTGTGATCATTTTTTAGTATTTATTTTAGAGAATTTTATACTTTGTTATATAAGTAGGTAGGTTTTTAATTATTAATTAAATAATATATTATACATTTTTGTGATTTTTCGTTTTATTGAAAACATTGAAATTTTGACCTCTTTAGGCAATGGTAAGTAGCAATGCAATTATTTATAGTATGTTTTAATAAAAACATAGCTGTATGTGTTTAATGCCCTTGCCTCATAAAATAAATTAGGTGAACAAGTAAACAACTAAATAAAATTTGTAAGAGAAAAATCAATGATGGTCGAAATAATAATTTATTGGTAATTATTTCGAGTTCTAAATTAATACAAATAGTAACATAAGTTAGTAATCAACTGCTATGCGAGATTCCTAGTGTTACCAGCATTTTATTTGGCTCTGCAAGGAACCACTGCCATAGCTTCCTCAAGTGATTCTTGTCTCCATTCTGTAACAATTAAAATAAACCTTAAACTGTCTATCTAATTAATAGATTAAGAATTAAAAAGCAAGAAATAAATAATCTGTTTTAACTGATCCAATATGCAATAAAAAATTTGGTCCTTCACATACATAACAAGACTCTAAACTAAAAGGAACGGAGTAAGAATCATCACTATTGATCTTATCCGAAATGATCCCCCTGTCCCTTCAGGTAAGGATCGAGATACAACGGCCTGAGTTGAGGTTCAAACCGCATCGCAGTGCCCCCAAACTATTCAAGTCATATCCGGTAAGCACAAGACGGCGAAAAGCCGCTCTATAAGTCCTTCCGCGAGTTTGGAATGCTGTTTGCACTCACCCCGTTTTTTACCCAGTGAGGCTATAAATCCCCAGCTGCGACGAAAAGCATAGCTTTCTTAGTCGCCTCTTATGATACCCATGGGAATGGAAGGGGTGGCCTATTCTATGCCGGGACCACACGGCGAGTTTTATTAGGATCCGACTATTTTATTAACAATAAATATATGATTAAAATGTTATAGGTCTTTATTATAATAAATATAATTTGAATATTACGTTCTCTATAAAGAGAATAGTCTGACAATTTTTTTTTTATACAACTTAGAATGGCAAACAAGCTGATGGCCCACCTGATGGAAATTGGTACCTGTCGCCTATAGACATGAGCAGTACCATGGACATAACAGAGTATACTGTTTCAGCCATGATACCCCTATGCATTGCCATTCCTGAGGACTCAGGTGTTATTCCTCTGTACCCTGTAAATTCACTGTCATATCCCACCATTCAAACCGAAACAGCCATGCAAACACAACTGCTGCAACTGCACGGTAGAAACACGAATGGGACAGAAGTACCCAAGCAATCGAAATATCTCACCTTCACCGTTGTGAAGAGACCACTTGCTTCAATGACCATCTTATCCACACTCTCCATCTTCTGCTTGAGCGAGTGCACCAACGACGCGACCACAGCGTCCCTACTGTTCGGCTGTCTGGTACACCCGTCCCAGATGTAGTCGCGCATTTGTTGCGTTGACGTTTTACTACAGTAACAAAACATAATAATCCTTAATAATATTATAAATGTGAAAGTGAGTTTGTTTGTTTACCTTATAACGCCTTAGCGGCTTAACCAATCGCTATCACACGAAGTATATGGGATGGAAAAAGATATAAACCACTTTTATCCCAGGCAGTAAACATATCTGTCATGTAAAGGAAATCGCGGGTAAAAACTAGTAAAAAATAATTCTAGAAACTGGTCTCTTCAAGAATACTGTGATTGATTGCAATTGATAGCAGATTTAGACATGTACCTTTTTTATACCACTGAGGTGGCCAAAAAAACCACAGCCCAACCCATAGTAAGCGGTTACCGTAGTCTATTAACGCCTGCAAAACCAGGGACATACGCGCGCATTGGCGACCTTGATTTAACCTCTTTACCCGTTTCTTGAAGAACCCCGTACCATAGTTTCTTAGAAAAACCTTTGACAGAGAGCTCATTCCATAACCTAAGCGTTCGTGGTAGGAAATATCTTTTATATTTACCAAATTTTTTTTATTACCACTCACACATTTTTGCAAACTTTTACATATTTTATTATATTAGAAGATACAAATTTTGGACTATAACAGAAAGGTTTAAAAAACAATATTGTAAAACTAATTTTTAAACTGTTTTACAAAGACTCACAATTCGATCAACGCCGACTCCTTCCTTGTGAAACATTCGCCTATGCTGTCTTTTATCTCTTTAATATGCCTCTGTAGCTCAGTGTACACCTTTACCAGTACCAGTGGGTCAGTGGTTGGCTGTACGCCCAATATACTGCAAAGAGTATCAAGCAGTATGTCTGATGACTGGAGTTTATTTTCACAGGCGTCCTGCTCCTCGCGTATACTGTTCATTGATTCCTGTAAAGAATTGAATAAATATATTATAAAATCGACAGTATTTTTCTGTATGTGCACCTAAGTAAGTGTTTCCACTAAAATACGTCTATTTTATACATTAAACACGTGTTGAAATTCTAGTCATTAGGATCGTTTTAAAAAAAAATATACATTTTTTTCGTCTATGTTTTTTGATTACGATGCCAATTAGGAACCAAATAATAAATACTTTTTGCAATCATTAGATTTTACTGCCGTATTGGTATAATATGGTTTATGTTTTCGAAGCAAAAAATTATTAAATGCAAAGCAAAATCTGTACGTAAGCATGTTTTTCTGCGTGTGAACATTTCTTGTAATTTTTCATTACATATACATACACAGATTTCTTATAAGTTATTTGTATCTATAATAAGTTTGCTATTGTAGTCTTTTGGAGGAAACAATAAAGAGTATCTAACTATCTCATAAACATATTTGAGGTATTTAAATGTGTTCTCTCTTTCTTTTATACCAATTTCTCGATTAGAAAGGAAGTGACAAAATACTGTAATAGATAAAATATGTTTATAGGTTTAAACTTTTATAAAGAAACTATTGGTGTGTTCCACATAATATATTATTATACCAAGCGAGACGTTGTGACGCAAGGCACCGAACACCCCCTGAAGAAGACTCGCGAATAGAGTTGAAACAATTGTCGGAGACTACAAACATAGTAAGTTCATAAAATCCCCATTGTTATTGCATCAACCGTTAACTGTCCACTGCTGAACATAGACCTCCCCCTATTGGGGAGTTTTACCCATAGTTGCCACACTTAGCAGGCGGATTGGTAACTGAAACTTTGGTGATGTTTTAAGAAAGAGGCTTTTAAAAAAGATGTTACCAGAGGGAGACTTTGTACAAAAGTCGATTGCTTGGGTACCTCTGTCCCATTCGTGTTTCAACCGTGAAGCAGTTGTGTTTGTATGGCTGTGTTTCGGTTTGAACGGTGGGATATGGCGTGAATTTACTGGGTACAGAGGAATAACACCTGAGTCCTCAAGAACGGCAACGCATGGAGGGTATCATGGGCGAAACAGTATACTCTGTTATGTCCATGATACTGCTCATGTCTATAGGCGTTGGTTACCACTTTCCATCAGGTGGGCCGTCAGCTTGTTTGCCATTCTAAGTTGTATAAAAAAAAAAAAAAGAAAAACGCTGCTGCCCATCCCTCAACCACTAAGTTCCTTTATCGGCCTCTAAAGACACCCATGGGAAAGGCAGGCGTGACCCATTCTATGCCGGGACTACACAGCTACGGAACGGTACAGTTGTGCATGTATACAAACAATAATACAGAAAATATGTTTTATCACGTACGATCCTACTGCAGACCGCTTCCTCCTCACTGACTACGTACTGCCGCAACTGCGACGTGAACTGCAGTAGTTCCTCTAGAGTGCGCAGCTCGTGCCTGAGAGCGCAGTACAGAAGCCGGTCCAGTGCCAACGCTTGCTGCGTCCTCTCCAACAGGTACGAGATATCGTTGTCGATTTGTCTGCAAATTTTAACTTTAGAGTTAGTAATTAAAAAAATGTGATTAGCAAACATTTAACTATTTAAGAGTGAAGGAGGAATAATCTGTTGTATAGATTCTATACAATACATTTACAAATTTACAAGGTATAGAGGTATAACACGTGAGTCCTCAGGAATGGCAACACATTAGGGGTATCATGGGCGTAACAGTATACTCTGTTATGTACATGGTACTGCTCATGTCTATAGGCGACGGTTACCACTTTCCATCAGATGGGCCGTCAGCTTGTTTGCCATTCTAAATTACATAAAAAAAAATACAATATTAGTATATGTAGTAATGATCCTTATTAATATTATAAATGTGCAAGTGAGTTTGTTTGTTACCTTATATCGCCTTAACAGCTTAACCAATCACTATGAAATTTGATGTACGTACACATACTATATGACGTGCAGAATGATATAAGCTACTTTTTATCCTGATCAATAAATCTGGCCAAGTGAAGTCGCGTGTAAAAGCTAGTAAGCAATATAACATACTCTCTGATGGCCAACGCGGAGCGGGCTGCACTCTCGACCACCTGCCGCGTGCATGACTTGGCGAACTCGTTGATGGCCTCAGGTATCTGCTGATCCAGTATCGTCTCCTCTTGCAGCAGCAGGTCTATGGCGCTCTGGGCTTCTACTATGGCCGCGCTAGTCACAGATAATAATAATCCAGTCAACATCTATCATCATTATTAATGTCTATTTTATGTAACATAAAAAAATTTAAGTATAATTTTTTTTATGACTGTTTGTACAATAAAAAATAAAACATAAAACAAATTGAAATAATTTTGAGACTGGAATTCTAGAATACAGAGGCTGTATATGTATAGATATTGTAACTTGTATATATATATATATATATATATATATATATATATATATATACCCGCCCTTCTAACGAAATTTCCTACTGACCAGTATTTTTATGTATGTATATATACGAGTATGTTCGCTAATTCTGTAGCGATACTGAATTTTTGGTGATTTTGATTAAATTTAGAAAAACAATAATATATTATCACTAATATACTTACTTCACTTGACTGCGATGAACGTTATTGTAATTAGCAACAAGAGCCAATTTCGCTTGCTCGCCTGCCAGTTCAGTTTTCGAGTCGATATAAAGCTGCGCCGCCACTACCAGCCTAAAATAATTCGTTGTAATAAATATATATATTTATTTATTTTTTATTTAATATATATAATAAAATAAATAAATATATAATACTTTTTAAGAATATTATCTGGTCCAACATGTGATATAACTTCATGTTTCACAAAATTACAGCATACTTAGTTTGTTTTTAATTTTTATTATTGTTATTATGTCACAATCTAAAATATTAAATATGAGTAAAACTGAAATTAATCTCAAAATGAATACAAAAATTATTACTGTTGTTTAGATTTCTCTTTTGCACTACTGCTGTCGACACACTACTTCCTATACCACTGTGTTAGGGGGGAAAGGGATTGTTCGCAATGGAGTTTGACAGCCCCATTGGTAGCAATATGCCTTATTAGGTCGACCTCCACGTGGTTACCCCTGGAAACCATCGTGAACAATTCTTGTTGAATTTGTCACGATGGGCTAACTGACCTGCTTCATCCTCACCTATCATCCTTTACTGGTGCCGGGTGAAAAAATACCTCTTTGTTAAGTTGACGGGAAGAGATCTCTTTCAGATAAGTTCACCTCTGTTTACATTGTTTATAATTGTTATTATTATTCTATGTTATTGTACAATGAAGAATATATAATAACAATAATGCAACAGCTATTTTACATACCATTTAACAATTGACAAAAAGTAAATAATAATGGTAGGTAATTGATCTTATGTAAAATCATTGTAACCCATATGTAGGCGAAATGAAATGAAATGAAATGAAATGAAATGAAATTTATTTGTTATAAAAGTAGTACATAATAGATGGTATGGACTGTATGCTGGTATGGGAACGTGGTGTCTTTAGGAAGATAATTATAAAAATACATATACAAAGCAAAAACGAGAAAAAACAGTAAACAAAACAATATCTTATAAAAAAAAAATACTTTGAATGTAATAAATAAATTGTCACGAATGGGGTGGCTTGTTTTGAGTATTAATGCTTTTTTTAATAATGCCAATATTTTTTTTATATTTTTTAATTAAAAATACAGTAAAATCATAGATAACTATTATTCACTTACTTCTGTTCCATATTCTTAGCTTCCATTAACGCTATACGTATATCTTCGTCTGTGAGGACATCCTTGCGTTTCTTGCTGAACTTCTTAGAGGTGTAGAGATCAAAATGTGATCTGAACAATGCTTGCGACTGTCTGTACGACTCGAACGGACCAAATGTGAAGAATCTCCTGGCTACATCCTAAAAACAATGCAGTTTTATACTTTTATACTTATGTATCATAATTCCAGCCTGTATCTAATTATTATCATCTATGCATTCCCAAAGAGGGTTGACGTCAAACAGGTAAAACTAAAAGCCCAATCTTTTTTGTAATGTGGATAAAACCATATGATGCCGACCCCAAATAATAATTGTGATAAGGATAGGAAGATGATGATGATTCCAGCCTGTATGTATCCACTGTTCGATATAGATCTTGCCCAATGCCTTCCAACATATGTGATCCTCCACTTGTCTCACTGGGGACCACAAATTATTAGTCCTTTTCATTGGAGAGTTTAAGCCCATAACCATAGTAAGTGGGTTGGTGGCTGAAATTTTTAAGAGTTAGGGGAAGGTTTACATTTATGTATGGTGACCCTAAAATTGTAAATAAACAATATGTATATTGTAATTGTCAAAACTCTTAGACAAAAAATACTTATGTGTAAAATTATTTCGTATTTTTTTTTTATTATTTTGACAGTCAAAATAATAAAAAAAAATACGAAATCTTTAACTTTTTTTGCTGTTAAAAGTTTTTTTTACTGGTTGTATGTTATAATTATAATGAACTAGTTTTTAGGATAAAGATTACCATGTCCATTCCAAATACATCATAAACTAATTGTTTTTTTTTTTATGTCAAACTGTTAAACATGTAGCTTAATAAATTCACATAAAAAAAGAAACAGTTTACACTGTGGCAATAATAACCTTATCAATGTGACAATTACTGTACAGTTCTAAGGTATCAGCAATTGTATCTATTACACCCTCAGTGATATTCTCCACATCCTCAGAAAGCCGGAGGCACTCCTCAGCGGCTGAGGACTCATCATCTTTGCACTGCTGCTCGGCAGCATGGAGTTTGGTCACTTCCAAATTGAGTTGCTCTTTTATGAGTCTGAAATGTGTGAAGTGTTCTTTTTATTACTGGCAAGGGCAAATGTTGATAGTAAACTTTAATGAATAAAAAGAACCTAATAAAATGGGTAGAGTTAATAAGAAAATAATATACATCGCCACAAAATATAGTGCTATCATGGTTATTTACTTTTCTGTTTGCAACTTTGAATAGTAAGTAAGCTAATGGCATGACTGATGTCGATAGAGAGAATAACTATCACTTCTAGATGTAAATCGTACCATAGGCACCACAGAATATACTTGTCATGTCTATGGTATCACTGATGTGTTGCCATCTATGAGAACTATGATGTTATACCCTCAAACACTGTAATTATATTGTCATATTGAATCCTTCAAACACAAATATAGGCAGAACTACATAACAGAAAAAAAAAATTAAATTATATGGCACAATATAAAAAATTATCACTGATAACAGAAATTACTGATACTGGTAATTAAAAAAATCCTAGATTTTTCTAATGGCTTTTCAGTACTTCATATACACGGAGTCCAAAAGTAGGAAAACCAATTAATTACAACCATTCTAGATAGTGCATCAAGATAAAATATACACCGAATTTTAAATTAGATTTTCAGGAATATTACTATGAAAACTGTATTCCTATTTAGTGTATTAATTTTTGTATGATACCAGAAAAAAACATACAAATAGTCAGCCAGGTAAAATATTTAAAAATAATTGTTTGAACCTCTATTGCTTTTATTAAGACCTCTCCTATATTTTTTTCTTAAATATCTCCCATGTACAGACATTGTTTAGTTACAATTTTATTACATTAATAAAATAAAAAGAAATTACTCACTCATTCTGTTTGACTAACTCTTCAATGACTACAATTTGTTTTTCCAACAAGTCCAGCCTCTCATTCTGCATTTCAATGTCAGTTTTGACTTCTTCTATACCTTCCTTGTCTCCCGGTAAACAGATGCCTGGGAATTCTTCCAATACAGAAGTAATAGATGACTCTAGTTCTTCTGGTGAAAGCAGTTGACCCTTTTTCTCAATAACTGTGTATCTGTTGAATTATAAAAAAATATTTGTTGTTAAATAAACAACTAGGTTGGACTTTATTGTAAACAACTTTGTAGATAGACAAAAGATAGAAAGATGACTTAAGAACATTGGGTTGATCAATATGGAAAAGAAAAGCACCGAATAGACAATTGTGAAGTACAGTGGAGGAGGCCTGTCGCAAGACAAACTGAGGAGACAATGTCTATAAAAGAAAATAATATAATTTGCCATTGATTTTCAATATCCTTTCCACTTTGGGTTTACTGAAAGATAACTCTTTTAGAGTAAACGCTCACCTTTGTACGTTTACTTACATCCGTCATATTTTTATGAATTATTAGTGTTTTTTTTTTATACAACCTAGAATGGCAAACAAGCTGACGGCCCATCTGATGGAAACTGGTAAAATGACATGACTGTCGTAACTGGACATGAGCAGTACCATGGATATAACAGAGTATATAGGACTCAGGTGTTATTCCTTCGTACCCAGTAAATTCACACCATATCCCACCCTTCAAACCGAAACACAGTCATGCAAACACAATTGCTTCACGGTAGAAACACGAATGGGACATAGGTATCCAAGCAATCGACTTTTGTACAAAGTCTCCCTCTGGTGTACAATGAAATATAATTAAAATAAAATAAATTTGAATATAGATGTACAATAATTATGTTATGTACCAAATTTTTTTATTTACTTTGCTTAGCTTTCATTATTTATTATTTGCCAATTACTAATAATCCCCTGCCATATATGGTTCTAATATTTTACTAATATTAAAAATGGGATAGGTTGTAAAAATTTGGTACATAGATAGATCCTAACTTAACATAGGATACCTTATGTTCTAATTTTATAATAATTTGAATACAATTTCCATTATTTATATTATATTATTATTCATATTGTTAATATCTTTACTCATTTAATAATTTAATTATATTTTAATGTTTGTCAAACACAAGGCATGCTGTGGTTGCCTATAAATGTAAGAACGGTGAGATCTGAGCTGCCAGTGTATTGTATTAAAACTTAGCTTTATTGTAGCTGTATCTTATGTTGGTAATCCTGTAAATAAATAAATAAATAAATAAATTCACGTGTGCTATCCTGTGAAAAGGAGCTAGTTTATAATATATAGATCTAGACTTAATTATACTGACTGTAAAATTATACAAGAAATAAGGGTATCCACTGAAATAACAAGGACACAATAATATTCACAAGAAAACATATTCAATATTTTAATATTAAGAAATGTTAAAATATTTTTTTTAATTTTCCTAATTTTATCTTACAATTAGTGAAATTTATGACTTATGTCACTAGATATACTTTTGTGACCTTACATTATATATTTGTTCATCTAGTTTATAAGCATTTCTGATTATTAGTTTAATTTTGTACCTATATTTATAAGTGAGAGCACTTTTATCACGTACTTTTTCTGGAATTGCTTTGCTCACTTTCTGTTTAATATAAAATAAGCAACGCGAACAAAACCATGGGATACAGCTAGTAAATATTAATGTTAAGTACCTATAATCTTCCCGTGCACTCAGGACATTGTTATGGTCCAAATTATTGTAAAGCCACCGCAAAACACCGGCGAACGCGGGATCGTTTAACATCCATTCAAATGATTTCTTAAATGTATCCACTTGTAAACTATGAAGGAATGGCACGAATTCATCATCACTTATATCATTTAACGCATTCATTGTCCGTAATTGTAATTTAAATAATTTTCTGTATATGCGAATAAATTCGGGTAAAGAAAATTGCAATAAGAAAATTCAATGTAGCAACGGTCGTTGAGCCATTGTTTGTTGTTTTTATTTGACGTTTAAATATATGTCAGTTATGTGTCAATATTGAAAGATTAAACGTTGCTATTAAGGTACACCGAATATATTAATTAATATTAGGTTATATTAAGTTGCAAAATCGGTAAGTTGAACTAGATTATTATTATTAAAAGAAATCGAAAAGTGTCTAACAATTTATTTTTTATTTGTTTGTAAGTTTTTGCACAGAATTCATAAAATTATGTATGGTCTGTGGAACCCAATCTACCAACTTAATAAATTTACGCTGCCAACCTAAACACATTATCGGTTATTCTCTAAGTATCCTATCCTCTAATAGATGGCACCACTAGTTCTTTTTTTTTATTTAAAATTATTCAAACAATAAAACAATTGTTCGGTTTTTTAAATGGTGCGTATATTATATTTTATAATTTCTCTTCGATAATTTTGTTAAGTACACCAGATAATCACGGATTCGTAGGTAATTTTATATCACAGAAGAAGGCTATTCTTTAATTAAATAAAAAAACAACCTTGAAGTCAACTAAAAGTTTATGAAATATTCCAATATATCTAAGATATCTAAGTAATCTGCCACTACAATATAATAGCCAGTAATATCTAATTATTAATTAAACACTAAAGCATACTTTATTTCAAGCATATTTTATTCCCAACCAATTTTGTACTAACTGATAGGTAGGTGAAAAGGAACAAAATAAATGGGATAATGATTGAAATAAGTTGATAACGTAGTGCGGAGTGTTTTAGCAACAACAGTAGTATATCATTCGATTGGTGTGACAGAAAGAATGGAGGAAGACGGGCCAATTTGGACCATTAGCCAATTGTGCCCCTTCATTTTGGCACATCCTCGCTCTTGAACGCTGGCAAGTTCAAGGTCAATGTGCAACGGACGGACGTCAACAAAACTATTCTGTATGCGTAGTCTAGTAGGATAATGTAGCGAAATCCTGTTGCGTAATCAAACATTGTATTTATTTATTCATAATATGCCCTCAGTGAGCAAATTAGCTAATATCAACCAATGTACCACCAATAATATTAAAGAAAAAGAATTATAATCAATTACAAAAAATATAAAGTAATAAATAAAAAAAAAATTGTAAAACATTATTTTAATTATTTTTTTTAATGCGTAACCCTGCATTCGGAAATCCTAAATTATTATCAGGTTGTAAAAATCATTTATGTGGTGTTTCTTTCTTGCACTATCAGTATTGCTGGCAGGACATCATTAACAGATGATAGGTGAAAATGAAAGTTGATCAGTTAGCTCATTATCACGAATTCCACAAGAATTAACCAAAATGGTTTCCAGGAAGTATTGCGTGGAGGTCGGGTAATTTGTTAGCATGGAGTTGGCAGATCCTATTACTAACAACCCCTTTCCTTACACCAGTGAGGGTTGACAGATCAGAATGAAGAGAGATAAGTTGACAAATTCACCACGATAGTTGCTAAAGGGGATCGCGAGGAAGTCTATGTAATAGCACAGATAATATAATACTATACGAGTATAATTTTAATATAATTAATGAGATTTGGTTTAAGAATCTATTTTATTAATTTTTACGTATTTTTACGTAAAAAATCTTCTTATTTTTTAAAATAAGTATATACATATTTTATAAATGATTTTGTTTGTTTTCCAAGACTTACAGAAGCATTAATAGTAAATCGCGACTAGTATCGCCATCTATTAAATTGTTTTCCTTTAGGCCATTTTTTTCTTCGTCATTGGGACCCCCTGGTAATAGTGTACATTGCTAGCAATGCGGCTATCCTCCATTGTTAGTAATCCTATACTTAATATTTGTTTGTTAACTAACACTCTCTCACAATTTGTTGGTGCCATCTATTGAGCAAAAATGATAAAACGTTACCAGAGCGAAGTGAGACATCGACGGTCTGCTACTGCGGTGATAGGCAAGAACCGCACTTACTCGCTCTCGATATACGTGTAATTAGCGAACTAATCATCATAATAAATACCTCATAATAAATTCACATTTCGTCAAAAGTAAAAATAAACGAGTTATTGAACAGTTCCTGCACCCATAAACGTTTATACATACAAAAGGGAAAAGTGCAAACACAATTAAATATTTAGTTGAATTTGTACTTAATTTTCTATAGTTTTAGTAAGTGGTCACTTGCATCTTGCTATAAAGCATTGAGTAAATAACTGAGTAAACTATCATCATCATCATCACATCAGCCGTTAATAGTCTATAGCTGAACATATACTTCCCTCATAAAGTCATAGTGTCAGTAGTTGCCACGCTTGGCAGGCGGGTTGGCAATCGCAGTTAGGCTATTTGTGACGTTTTAAGAGAAATGCTGCTGCACATTTCTCGATCATTAGGTTTCCTTAATCGCCTCTTACGACATGCATGGCAAAGGAGCGGTCGGCCTATTCTATGCCGGGAACATACAGCAATATTTTATATATATATATATAAAATATATAGTTTGCATAGATAGATACTCTTTATTGTTTCTTCCAAAAGATTACAGTAGTAAACTTATTATAGATACAAATAATTACAAGAAATAATCACAATGAGAAAACAATGGGCGCTAAAAGCGATCTCTAGCAGGCAACTTTTGCATGGAAAGGAGTATTTATATAATGTATAATTTACTGTATGTTATCTGAATTATATAAAATAAAGTGTGTTTTGAAAAATCAATATCTATTATTAGTTATACATAGATACTTTTTTTTTAATGGATGATAATGGAATGGTAACCCCGCCCGCGCTATTGGTATACACTGGCGAGGCATCAGTGAAGGATGATAGGTGAGTATGAAGTCAGATCAGTTAGCCCATCGCGACGAATTCAACAATGATCAATCCCAATGGTTTCCAGGGGGGACCGCGTGGAGGTCGACCTGACAGGGTATTGGTATATTGCTAGTAATGGGGGATTAATTTCCCCATTGTTAACAATCCTTCTTTTCCCTATATACATACTGTAGTATACTTAAATAAATAAAAGGACATGTAATTAATATAATTTAAGTACAAAGATGGCTTAAAATGATTAAAAATACGTAGGCGATAAACAAATTTATACTGCGAATGCTAGAGTGAATAGATCTCCAGTGGCCATACAAATACTTACATATTGCAAAGAAACCTTCTATGTATAAAGGCAGATCGAACATTCTCGAAGCCTATTGAAATCTTGCTTCCGTTGTTTGCTTTCTACTCTGTGTCCATTGTTAGATATCATGCAGTTATTTTAAGCCATGACGTGTTATTTAAGATTTTATTTAGTAAATAGGTTTTAGCTGTATATACAATGAATGATAATGGAATGGTAACCCCGCCTGCGCTATCGATATACACCGGTGGGGTACCAGTGAGGGATGAGAAGTGAAAATGAAAGAGCAACTCAGTTAGCCCATTGTGATTAATACACCTGGAATTCAGCACGATGGTTTCCAGGGGAGGTCACTTGACGGGGTATATTGCTAGCAATGGGACTGGTAGTTCGCATTACTAACAATCCCTCCCCCCCCCCCCCAAGCTGTATGTATAGAAATAGCCTAACTCATTCCAAAGCCCATACAATACATGTATACCGGGGGAAAGGGATTGTTAGCAATGGAGTTGGATAGCCCCATTGCTAGCAATATGCCTTCTTAGGTCGACTTCCACGTGGTTCCCCCTGGAAACCATCGTGAACAATTCTTGTTGAATTCGTCACGATGGGCTAACTGACCTACTTCATCCTCACCTATCATCCTTCACTGGTGTCCCGCCGGTGTATACCGATAGCGCGGGTGGGGTTACCATTCCATTATCATCCATTAAAAAAAAAATACGTAACTCACGGACACGTGTGTGCAAAAGATGTTATATATAAATATATAATTATATAAAACTTGCGTATCATTATAAGGTAACTATTTAATACTGCGCATGATTTAAACAAGTCTGCTAATTTATTTTCGCCGAATGTACCTACATACATCAGTGAAAAGGTTACCGTGGAAACAGTGGTCGATGCATTATCAAGTATCTCTGTATAAAGTAGGTGGCATGGAGCATCCTTCACACAGCTGTATTGTCCCCTCAACTAGAAAAACAATAGGCCCAGCTTGTGCAGCCTCCTTCTAATACCAACGTAGGATTTAACGTCCTCGAAGTATGATGTGGACTTTAGCGCCTAAATCATAAGGTTGTAATTTCTTTGAAATTAGCCATATTAGGTATTTATTAAGTTTTTGTCGAGTCATCAACACTAGAACTCCTTCGTGAATACAAAATACTGATACAAAAGTAAGTAGGTACTTTCTATTTGTTTCTAAGGGTTTATCTTTTTGAACAAATTGGAAACGATTTCGCTTTGTTTTTTAATTTATTCCTGCTTTGGTTTCCATATTAATTTTGTTACGTTTGAAGCTGCCGCTTTTCTTTGCTAAACAAAAATAGCTTGGCATGAAGTACTTTTTGCTTGTGGATACACTTCGGCATTTTAATTTTTATACATAATCTATTGAGCGACTGTTTTTTTTTTTTTATATTGATAAAGGTGGCAAACAAGCATACAGCCCGTCTGATAACATTATTGCCTATGGACGCCTGCAACACTAGGGATGTCACGTTCGGGTTGCCATCTCTGAAGAATAGAGGAAAAATAAATAATTAATAGAGAAATAATAATAATAGAATAATATCACTAGAGGGAGTATTTGTATAAAAATCGTTTGTTTGGGCACCTATGTCCCATTCGTGTTTCTACCGTGAAGCAATTGTGTTTGCATGGCTGTGTTTTGGTTTGAAGGGTGGTATATGACAGTGAATTTACAGGGTACAGAGGAATAACACCTGAGTCCTCAAGAATGGCAACACATGGGGGGTATCATGAGCGAAACAGTATAGCCTGTTATGTCCATGGAATTGCTCTATGATGTCTATACGCAACGGTTACCACTTTCCATTGAATGGGCCGTCAGCTTTTTTGTCATTCTAAGTTGCATAGAAAAAAATGTCATTCCACAATG